AGAAGAAGAAGAAGAAGAAGAAGAAGAAGAATACTAATAATACTAAGCAGAAGCATCAGTAGCAGTAGTAGCAGTAAACGAGGGGGAATTCTATCTTTTACACAAAGAAGTAACAGTATGGTGATCGTAGGGCCTTGCATTTTAGATGAGCGATCTAAGGTGTGCCACCCATACACGCACTTCATGGGGTATAGTATATGGGATGCGTTGTACAGCAATCTAAGGCATACATCCTGTGATGTGCAGCCAATGATGTGCACTCTATGGGGTGTCATCTATGAGGCGCACGGACCGAGCCCAATGGCGACAAAGCGGCGGCGAGCGAGCACTGTGTGAAGGCCTGAAGCTGCGAGCCAGCGAACGCGGCGGCGATGAGGCGGTGGTGTCGGCCGAGCACCAGGCGCACGGGGCGGCGAGGAGGTGACGACGGGCGGGCACCAGGAGAAAATCCAGAAACGCGTGCCAGTTACTTAAACCGAAAGCGGGAGCCTCTTAGCGCAATCGTTATTTGGGGGGACATGGCGTGCACGCGCATGCGCCCAGGCATGGCTGACGTGGCTCCCTCCTGTACCTCCTTGCCCGTCATCCTTTGCAGTTCAGTTCCCCCCCTGCCCCCCCTGGCCCCCCCCTGCCCCCCCCTCCCCCTATCCGTTTCCTATCACCATCCCTTCGGTCCGCTCTCCTGTCTCGCCCTAGATCCCCAGTCTCTGGTTTGCACCAGGCCCTGGGGCCCCAGAGGGGTGGTGCCACATAGCGTCCCCCAGCCCACTTCGGCACACCCACCGCATTCTTCGTGGCCCCAGAGGGAACTCCACCGAAGTCCCCAGAAGGGGTGGTGACACTAGCGTCCCCAAACCTATTTCGGCACACCCATCACACACATGTCGTGGCCCCATCAGGAGCTCCACCGAACTCCCCAGGGGGTGGTGCCACATAGCGCCCCCCCACCCATGTCGACACACCCCTCACACGGCTCGTGGCCTCATATGGAGATCCTCTCCTTCGTCCCGCCTCTTTGCGGTACTCACGCTTGCATGTGGTTGGGTCCTCCGCCAGGCCAGGGTAATTTTTCAACGCGCAGGATTTCGAGCATTCTTTTTTCCATGTGTGTTTCCAATCCGACTGGTGTCGGTCCTTTCAACATGATGGTCCCGCTGCAGCACTGGCTCCACTTTATTTGAATGGTGCTCCCGCTGCAGCATTGGTATAATTTTCGGATTTTTCGGTCCTTCTCAACGGTGCTCCCGCTATAGCGGTGGCTCCAGTTCACGTTGTCGGTAATTAAACGTACTGCTCCTGATGCGGCGATGGCCTCATTTCCGCGTTCGTGTCCTTCTGAAAGGTGCTCCCGCTGCATGGCTGGTGTCGTTTCCGCATTTTCAGTCCTTCAAAATTTTGCCCCCGCTTCATCATTGGCCTCATTTCCAAACTGTCCGTCCTTCAAAATAGCGTTCCGTCTACAGTGTGGGATTCATGTCTGATGTTCTGGTCCTCGATGCGCTCGCTGGCTTCAGTGTTGGCCTCATCTCTGAAGTCGCATTCCTGAGTTGCCCTGGGACCTCCGTCCGAAGGACTTGCACTCTCGACGCGGCGCAGACCGTACTCGTGCATCAGCATGTGGCGTGCGCCTTCCAGCCCTGGTCCCTGCGTGTTGGTACTTCAACATTGAGCTCCCTCGTGCAGCATTGGCTCCATTTCTCAGTTGCCATGGAGTCCCCGTCCAATAGAAGGGCGCTCTCGCTGCAGCGCTGGCAGTACTGTTGGATCGGTATTCGCTCACGTCTCCTGGCCCTGGCCCTGGTTCCCAGGCAATGCCACACCATGCTACGCCATACTAGGCTCTGCCGTGCTCTCCTGCGCCATGCTATGTAATGCTATGCTGCGTAGCCTTTACCTTTTCGAGATCAATGTCTTCTTCGATATCCGAGTCTGCGAATAGAGAGGGGCTCAACGCAATGGTCAGGAATGGGAGAGAGGGGTCGGATGTCAGATATGACAAGAACGCACCCAGCTTGTCCTCCCCCCTCTCCCCACACCTCCGACGGCCAGGCTTGTTATTTTGAGTCGCCAGTCCCTGCAGCTCTCGAGTTCTTCCTTGGAGCAGTTTTTCCATCCTGGGTCGCTCTTCGACGGCTCTGGGTCCAGGAAGCGGTCTCCAGATGCCAAGGAAGGCGACAAGCGGCCAGCGCGATCATTGCCGAGACGCCAGCCAGAAGCCTGGGTGGGTCCCTATCCGGCTCCCCTTTCGCCACCTCCTTCTCCAAGGCAGCTCCTCTTTTCCGATCGCGCATGACATGATCGGGCCATTTTTGGAGTTCCAGGTCCGCTACGAATCGCGTCGGCGGATTGAGAAACAGTCAGCGCAGTGGGACAGGATGTCAGCGCAGCGCAGTTTGGAGGGGTAGGATGTCAGGTATGGCGCGATCGCACCTTGCTCCTTCTCCTTCCCCCCCCTCGCCCACCAGATCCCGTGTCTCTGCGCCGCCACAGGTCCCCGCGGTGCGATGCCCGGCGATGTTGTGTGGCAGTGCATGCACCATAACTGCCTGTGCAACATCGGGCCCTCCATGCTCGCCAGGCGCCCCGCGGGCAAGCTCCTCGGGGGCTGCGCGCAGGCAGCCCCCGGAGGTGTGGCCCAGGCTGGCAGGGCAATCCGGGGCAGTCGGGTGGCGCTGGTCTCAACATTCGAGGGATAAAAAACTGCATAAGCATAACCTTGGGCTACCCCGAAAGCTTATGCGCTTATGCTGTCTTTCCTCCTTCTAGGCATCCTCGCGCCACCTCCGGCGGCGTCCCTGAGGGTGCCCCGCGCCCCAGGGCTGGGGTGCTGCGTGTTGGGACCGCCCTGGACTGCTCGCCCTTCAGGCCTCTCGATGCCAGCCTGGACCACGGTGGGGGCGTTAGTTGAGGAATGTGCCCAGAAGGCTTCAGACACTGGCGGATTCCTTCTCTGATGAGGGCGGCGGTGATATCCATGGCCAAGCCCAGATTGGTGTTTCACTGGCTTTCCAGACGCAGGATTCCTTATCCGATGGTTCCTTATCCAATACCCTCACCGCATGCCTCCGGGGGCTGCCCGTGCGCAGCTGCAACCCTTTTGTCGCTCACAGTACTGCCGATAAATGATGTTGCACTTTCGGCTCCGACAGCGGGCATCCTCTGCACCATTCTCTGGAAATTGTATGCCGCATATTCCCAGCCACCGCGATCTGAACTTCGCCCACGGCTGCACTGCTAAGACTGTTGCTGCTTCATGGTTATCGCTGAACGATGAGCAGGAAGTAGAATAGCAGCACGATGTAACCCGAGTGCAGTCAACCCGCATAGTAAGGATGAACGATTTTCCAAGGTTACCCTTGCATCCTTCCCCTACGGCCCATCCTTGGCCACCTTCGCTGGCCGCGCCCCGCTCGCAAAGCGCTGACATGGCCTTTTTCAGGCCATTGCGTCCTTGTAGTGTGTCCTTCTCACACGGGTTGACTGTGCCACCCTGGCTGCAGCTCTGTCACGCCGAGCTTGTCGCTGCTGCTGCTGCTGCTGCTGCTGCTGCTGCTGTATGGCTCCCACCGAGCGACGAGCGGAGAGCAGAGAGGAGCAGCACGATGTAGCCCGAGCCTCACGTGAGGCTCGGGCTACATCGTGCTCCTCGTGCTCACGTGAGGCCCGAGGCTCACGTGCAGCCTCACGTGCAGCCAGAGTGAGCTCACTCTGGCTGCAGCTCCGCCACGCCGAGCCCGTCGGACGCCCAGGCCGGGCACCGCCCGCGCCCGCGCGCCGGCGCGCCGCGCCCCGCGCCTCCGCGTCGGAGCGGGGCGCTCGGCGGGCCGAGGGCCCCGCGGGGCAGCCCGCGGGGCAGCCCGCGGGGCAGCACGACGGCGCGGCTCGGCCCTGCGCGCGCCGCGGGCGGGCCCCCCCCCCTCCGCTTCGGGGGTCGTGGCTTCTCCTCCTCCTCCTCCTCCTCCCTCCTCCTCCTCCTCCTCCTCCTCCTCCTCCTCCTCTCCTCCTCCTCTCCTCCTCCTCCTCCTCCGTCTCCTCCTCCTCCTCCTCCTCCTCCTCCTTGCTCCTGCAGTGGAGGCCCATGCCAAGAGGCACCCCGCTCGCCTCCAGGGTGCCCTGGGTCTCTCGGGCTTCGCCGGCTTCGCGACGGGGAGCGCGACGCCCCCGCGCCAGAAGTCCATGGACGTCCTGGGGTCTCAGTCTCTTGCGGAAGGTTTCTTGTGGTCGGGCCTCCACTCTATTCAGCCCCGCCTGCCGGCCGCCGACGCCGTCTGCTTCAACTTCGGCGAGCTTGTCGGGTGCTTCGGGCGCGCCCCCGTCGCTCGAGGCGCGCCCGCCGCCGCGCGGGCTCGTGTCCGCGGGATCGAGACCTCCTGGGTGCGCTCGCCGGAGCTGGCCAGGCTCAGGAGCTCGGCAAGATCGAGGCTCTTGCGCGCTCTCTGCCCGAGGTGTGCTGTGTTCGTTTCGTCGCGTGCCCCTCCCTCTCTTCCCGCTTTGGGCTCTGCCCAAGGCTCTGTGGGCTCAGGCCTCTGGAGGCAGCGTCCGGGCTGGCATAAGAGTCGGTGCGGTGATCTATGAAGACTATGTCCGCTCAGGGGTGCCCCTCCTCCTCCTCCACCTCCTCCTCCTCCTCCTCCTCATCCTCCTCCTGCTCCTTCCCCGATCCATATCCACGTGGCCATCGAGGCTCAAGCGCAGGCTCGGCCTGGCCTCGCATCTTTGGTTGCGCCGCTCCCTCCGCGTGGTGCGCTTAGAAAATGACAGAACCGAGGTGGTCTATCAGCACTCGCTTGCGATTGCCGTGGTTCGACGAATTCGCGTCAAGCCCGCGAGCTACCAGGCGGGCTTGGCCCTGGTGCTTGCGCCCTTGAAGACGAGGGCCACGTGCGCGGACGGTCGCCTCGTAGGTGCTGCGCGACGATCCCGGTGGGGCCAGCGGCTTTTGTAGCCGCTTTGCTCGCCGTGCTGCTGCCTATGCGTTTCCAGGTGCCCATCAATTTTACGACGATCTACGTGTGCACCAAACGGGCGGATGAGGCTAACCACTCGTGGACTGCCCGCGGCGCCAGGATGCTCCTCCTCCTCTTCGACCACCGCAGCCGTGCCGTTTCTGACTTGCCGAGTTGTTCCCCCCTCCGCGAAGCTTGGGGCGATCTTGCGCAGCAGTGCCTTCTTCGTGCTTCTGGCTTACCGACGCCGAGCACGAGTAGCACTTGCAGCTTGCCTGCCTCAGAGGACATCAACAGCTGCCTCTCGCTGCAGCCTGGGAACGGGTTCAAACTACCCATTCCTCTTCGTAATCCGGGAATGCCGACGCTGAACACAAGCAGACCAAGCTGATTGAGCTCTTTTACTCAGAATCGGCCAGCCAGGTAAACTCTTGACCCCCTCCCAGAGTCGCACTTTGTTTCGCGGGTCGTTTATTGACGGCCTTTGAGTCTGGAGGAGGCCCTTTGGAGGCCGAACATGGCGAAAAACCGCCGCCGCGATGCTGTTCGCGTCGCCAGAAGTGTGGGTCTCTGGGGCCCTCTTGAGGCCTTCAGGGGCCCCCAGGATGGTTTCATAACGCCCCAAGATCTCGATCCTCCGTTCGTCCTCGAGGCAGTTTCTATATTCGTGTGGGCGCAGCGCCATGGACCTTCCCGCTGTAGGGCAAGCTTTTTGAGTCGTCTCGGCCTTGATGGCTGTTTGTACGTCTAGCCAAGGCACTTTGATTGGCCATTCAGAAATTCATCCTTGACGTGCTGGCTTCTGGGGCGCTCTTTGCGGCGGGAAAAAACTCGATCCTGCTTTCGTCCTCTATCCTCTTCCTCGCGAGTTCGGAAGTCCGCTCCCCGCCCCAGCGACCTGGCGAACCTGGGCACGGAGGCCCGGAGGGTGATCGACGCGGGTGCCGACTCCATCCATTTGGACATCATGGATGGCACCCCGGCCCAAACCGAGGAGGGGGTAAGGGAGGACGGAGATGAGGAGAGACGAGAGAGGAGAGAGGAAAACGGCGAAGATGAGGAGGAGGAGGGGGAGGACCAGAGAGGAGGGTGGAGGGAGTGAATGGGGGAGAAGTCGGAGGAGGGAGGACAGCGAGGAGGACAGTCACATCGGCAACACAGGCAATATTTCATTCTAGACGGTTCGCGCAACGCTGCCAGCCCATTCAGAAACGATGCCCAGGCGAGTTGCCCAGGGCGAACAGAAAGGCCAGAGGCCTCTTGGATGCTTCTCGGAGTCTCTTCGGATGTCTCTTGAGACCCCCTTGTAGGCCTGTCGCGGCGTCTTGGGGCCCTTTTGGCAGTCCCCGGGGCCTCTTGAAGCGTCTTGAGTGTCTCGGGGGAGCCTCTTGGAGGTCTCTTGGGGGTCTCTTGGGGGTCTCTTAGGGGTCTCTTGAAGGTATTTTGGGGGCATCATTGAGGCCTCTTGGAGCCTCCTGGGCGCCTCTTGAGGCCCTCTTGGGGCACTCGTGGGAGGCTCGGGGGCCATCTTGGGGTCATCTTGGAGGTGATTGATCAAAGAAGGGGTGGTACTCAATCAGCGCCCTCCCCCCAGGAGGCCAAAGTTGGCCCAACACCTTAGTACAAACATTGACTTTGGCCTTCTCGCCGAGGCCATCTTGGACACACTAACTACCCGCCGCCCCCCCCTTCAGGTCCAGTGGGTGGGGGGGGTCGGGGGAGGGGTCAGGCTACCCTCGTAGATAGCAAGCCGTCTAGCTCACTCCCGCCCTCCCTCCTAACACATAAGGAACGGTGTCAGCATATCGCTTGGGGACGCCACACATGTCATGCGCGCCACGGGTTCCAGATGCACCAGGCACCTTCTAGGCCGAAGCGTGCCAGGCGTGCCAGGTGCGGCACGTGCTCCACGTGCGCACACTGTGCCACGTGTTCCAGCCGCGCGAGGTGCGCCAGCTACGGGGAACCTGTGGGGACCCCAGGTGCCTGGAGCCCCGGCCCCAAAGAGTTCAGAATTTTGAGTTCCCCCATAGCGAAGTGCCAAGCATTCTGTGAGAAGGACGGCTCCAGGGAACGCAAAGCAGCGGCACCGATGGTCAAAATTAGACATTTTGAGGAGTCGTGGAAAACATGATAGCTCAGAGAAAAAAGCGCCCCCTGGAAGTGTACAAAGAGGATGTCGCCAGCAACGCTCAACTGGAGAAGCAGGAGCACACGCACGCTGGACACAGTCTGTCGCCACACTATCTCAGTCAAAAAGCATGAGAAAAGGGTTTATGCACCCCCGCCGTCCCTATCAAAAACCAATGCAAAGTGATCGCGGGCCGCCTGCGCGTGCTCCAGACGTGGAAACGAAGTGTATCTTGTATTGTTGTTTGACAGGGCTGGTTGGCCTGCGCGCAGCAAGCAATGTGCCAGCACCCCCGCCATCCCTTTCACAAGCCAGCGCAAAATGGTTTCGGGGCGCCCGCGCCCGCGCGTGCTTCAGATTCGGAGGCAAAGTGCATTGAGCATTGTTTTCTGAAAGGCGTAGTGGTGGTGGGGGCCATCGTTGGTCCTGGTTGGCTGCCGGTCGCATGGGGGACAGGGTGTTTATTAATAGGGAGCAGTGATGAACCCCTCCCTGGAGGGGAAGAAAGGGGATTGGAAGAGGAAGCGCTCTAAACCACTCGCGCCCTCAAGGGCTGCTGGGATTGTTGGCTTGTGTCTCGATGATGCCAAGCCGCTTGATCTTGAAAGTAGGCTGAGACCGTCAGATGCTCCCGTGCCATTCAGCACGTGTGCCCAAAACCTTCGATGCCCGGTCCCTCCGTCTTCGGCCGTGCCCCCTTTTGGGGGGGGATTCCGGGAAGTTTTGCTCTCGCCTCGGATACTGATCCCTGGAGTCTTCGGCAGGTCCCAGGAGGCCTCGGGAGGCCAGGAGTGCGATGAAAAAACCCCAAGGGCCCTGCCCGAAATGTTGACGAGCTCCTTCGGTCCTCGAGGGTTGAGTGCAAAGCCTAGCAGGTGCGTCTTCCTCCCTGCGGGCGCGGTGCCGCCGCGGCGCCGACGACCCGCTCGCCCGCCGCGCCGTCGCCGCGCCTGCCGCCGCCGCCGCCGCTCTGGTTTCGCAGAGGCTCACGGGGTGGCGACGTGCGGGTGTACACGGACTCGCCTGCCGCCGCAGAGATGCCGTTGCGAAGCTCTCGCGTTTTTTCCGCGCTGGTGGCCGCGTGCGAGAGGCGGGGGTTTGGTGGGTTTGAGGCGCGCGCTTGTCCATCCGAGCGCGCGTGTCGGGTGGAACCTTTCTTTGGGCGGTCGGGTCTGGTCGGGTTGAGTCGAGCGGAGCCCACCTCGGGCGGTGGAGTCAGGATGCAGGATTGAGAAAGAAAGGGGAACTCGCTCTTACCTGCTCGCATGCCTTGCGACATGTGTAGCCTGAGCCCTGGATGCCCGCCCTCTTCGTCATCGAACGTGCCCCCTGTGGGAATCTGTATTTCCTTTTGTGGTTTGTGGGGGCAGGCGAACATAATCAGGTGAGTGGGCGGGTGGACCCCCACGGATGGTCGGGTTGGATCGGGCGGAACATTGCTCAGGAAGACGGAGAATATTGGCGTAGGGAAAATGGAACTGACAAAGAGATGACGGGAGGAAGGGGTGGAAAAAGGGAGGGGGAGGACAGGGAGGAGAGGAGGGAGGGGGTCCGCGGAAGGAGTGTCAGATTTCGGAGGCTTGAGGATGAGGCAATTTTTCGGATGGGGGCCCCGAGACAGCCTCCGCCTCGGCGACAGTGCGGTGTAGGAGTTGATGATGAAGCAGTCTCAGGCGAGAACGCCTATGCTGAGTGGCGAGAGCGTGTGTTCAGAGTACATCGCCGCAGAAGTCTCCAGCGAGAGCCCGATTCCAGAGTGCCCTGGGGACGTCTCGGGCGACATGCGCGACTTCTGAGCGGCGACGACGCGGTTCCCGGGTGAACCGTGCGGAGGTCTCGGGCGAGGGCGCGATTCCCGAGCGCACCGCGTGGAGGTCGCGGGTGAGGGCGCGGCTCCCGAGCAGAGAGTGAGAACCTCCCGCGCGGGGGCGGGGCCGCTGTTGTAGTCCTTGGGCCGACGATCGTCAACAAAAGAGTGGCTGTGAGCGTCGAGTCGATCATCTCGATGGAGGAACGCCAATGCGCACCACATAGGGGGCGGGGATCAGCAGCAATTATCCATCATACGCGTGGCCTTTCTCGCTGCGCAACAGCTATGTTGCTGCTCGCGTGCCAGTCAGTCGACCTTCGATTCCCGCTCATTGTGTCTTCGGTCTTACCATTTCAGAGTTTCTTCTCCTTATCCGCTTTGGGTGCGGACTCAGCAGAACAACCGCCTACGATGAGTGGATGGAATATCAGTGGGGATGTAAAAGGGAACTGTCGGACAAAAGAACGATCGGATGGCGCAATCGTTTCGGTGAGACCACCCCACCAGAAACAGCTTATTATGGTATTCCAGCATCGTATTTTTTGCCATGCCATTCGTAGTTGCTCTACACCGCTACGGACAATGGTATCACGTGTATATGCCACGTTTATAGCGCTAGATACAAGGTGCTCCGTGTACACTGTTGCCGCCACTGTGCTACGTCTACGGCAAGTATATATCTGTTACGGCTGAGTGGCCTCGCCGCCCTACCACCCTCTCTCACCCTCCTTCGGTGGGTTCAGGATGGTTTGAGTTGAGTGTGGGTGCCCCCTCTACTCTCGCCCCCTCCGCAACGGGTACGCCCCCGCGCCGGGGGCCCAGTGGAGCGCGCGCCGGCCAGTCGTGGCGCGCGGCGTCCTGTGGGTGACGGGTGAGGGAAGCGGGGGCTGGGGCGGAGGATGGGAGGTGGGCGGAAGAAGGGGGAGGAGGGGGAGGAAGAGGGGGAGGACGAGGAGTCGAAGGACGAGGACGACGGTGAGTGGGACGACGGCAGGACGAGGACGACGGTGAGTGGGACGACGGCAGGGCGGGGTGCGCGGAACGCACAACCTGGGAAGGGCTGGTGGCCCGGCGGCGCCAGGTAATTTCGCGCCGAACATTTCCTGGGGCCCGCCTGCCGCCGCCCCAGAGCTCGCCAAGCTGCGCGGTGGGGGGGGATGAGGGGCGTCAAGGAACCATCCGTTGCGATCTTCTCACGGCCCAGACCTCCGACGTCGTGACCTTTCACGACGTGGACCCCCAGAGGCTTGGACCACTTTCTCGGGCTTGTTCTTCATCCATCCAGGGTCGTTTCGTTGACAGCCCCAGGGCCCCGTAGAGGCCCCCAGAGGCCCAAAGCGGCCAGAAGCTGCTCGTCGTGTTTCCTTCACCGCGCGAGAGGGTCTGGGGACCCGAGAGGGTCCGGAAGACTGGAGGAGGACGCCCCCGGCAGGCTGGCAGCCCTCCGCCGCCCTCCCTCCCCACCCGCCACCCACAGGCCACCCTCCCCTCTGCAGGATCGGGGCCCCAGCCGCGGATGTCCCCCCCCGCCGTCCAGTGGCCGTCGAGGAGCGCCCCGAGGGCATCGGGTTTTCCTCAAGCATCCTGTGTGAGTCGGGTCCTCGTTTTTGAAGTCGCAGTTCCTTCCTTCCTTCCTGCCTTCCTTCCTTCCTTCCTCCTCTGCCTCCTTTTCCCTCTGCTCTCCGCGTGCCTGCTTCACCGCAGCCCTTCACACGTTTCGTGGCCCCACCCAGAGCTAGATGGGGATGCGTGGGCATGCGTCCCCCCGCCCATTTCGGCACACCCCTTACGAGGATCGCAGCCTCATAGGGAGCTCCACCTGCGACTCCAGGGGGCGCGTCCACACAGCGCCCCCCCCACCCAATTTGGCGCACCCTTTGCGAGGATCGTGATCCGCCCATAGGGAGCTCCACCTGCGGCCCCAGGGGGTGCGTCCACATAGCGTCCCGCCCTCGCCCATGTCGGCACACCCCTCACGCGGATGGGAAGAGAAGGACAAGGAAGAAAAGGAATGGGAGAGGTGAGCTCCATGCATGCGGAAGAGGAGGAGGAAGAGGAAGAGCAGGAGTAAGAGGAGGAGGAGGAGGAGGAGGAGGAGGAGGAGGAGGAGGAGGAGGAGGAGGAGGAGGAGGATCGGCATGGGAGGAAGGGGAATCGGGAGGGGATAGGCAGGAAGACCAGGAGAGCTCAGCTCGCCTCTGCGCGCCTGGTCCGTCGCCCCCTCCCCCTCCTCCCATCCGCACTACCCCGAGCTCTATCCCTCTCGCGACGCTCTGCCTGTGAGGGGAGGGCCACATGCTGGGGTGCTCGCAGCTGCGCAGGGTTGGGCCCCTCACCTGGCCATCTTGTGTTGTTGTTGTTGTTGTTGTTGTTGTTGTTGTTGTTGTTGTTGTTGTTGTTGTTGTTGTTGTTGTTGGTGTTGTTGGTCTTGTTCTTGTTCTTGTTCTTGTTCTTGTTCTTGTTGTTGTTGTTGTTGTTGTTGTTGTTGTTGTTGTTGTTGTTGTTGTTGTTATTGTTGTTGTTGTTGTTGCTGCTGCTGCTGCTGTTGTTGTTGTTGAACATTATTTATTCTAAAGAATAATTATTGTTGGGACCCCTGGTGCGCGGCCCCCTCGCCGCGCCTAGGCCGCAGCCACATTTTCATCATTTTCGTGAGGAAGTCTCAGGCAAAACGTGGGTGTCCGGATCCGGTTGTTTTGTTGTCCCCCGTTTTCCCTTGCAAAAAATAGCTAAAGTGGACATTTCTTGTTCTAACATAACCAAACTTCAAGAATCCCTTGCAAAAAATAAGGTAAAGTGGACATTCGCGCGCGCAAGACGAAATCCTTCCAAAACCTTAGTTTTCGTAGCGATTTTAACATAAAAACATCAAAAAACCAATGGTTTTTCAAAAAAAATGTCAAAATTTCATCCCGCGCGCTCTTGCGGATTCGTAGGAAACCCAACACTTTTTAAACATTTCTGTCAAACGGGCTTTTGCGAGCAACTTTTTCGAACTTCTGCAACAACGGTTGCGCACCTGCCAGGGCCATCATCCCTGTCAAATAATACCATGCGGGACACATTCGTTTTTTCTTCGCGCGCGCACGCCGTCGTCGTCGGCCGCGGGGCCCTGAATAGTAGCCACGGTCGTCCGCATGCCACGAAGTGAAGTGTCCGAACGTCATAGGGCGGGAAGCTGGGTGTGGGTGGTGGCGAAGAGTCGTTTGGAAATTTGGTAGAGCTTGAACCGGCCCCCCCACAAAGTGGGGGTATTGCCCGCCTCCTATGAAAACCCTGGCACTGGTGAGAACGGAGTGTCCCCACGTGCTAGTAATTGTTGTTGTTGTTGTTGTTGTTGCTGTTGTTGCTGCTGCTGCTGCTGTTGTTGTCGTTGTTGAAGACTCATATCGTAAGAATACTTATTGCTGATCTCCTGAAGCGGTTCCGCGTGCTCTCGCTTCGACGCCAGCAGCATTTTTTCTGAAAGCGAGGCTCCCGCTCGAGCGTTGGCTTGAGGCTTGACCCTAAAAGTGGGCCCTTGGAGGCCCAGTTACGACAACAGCGGCTCCGGCTCGATACTTCCTCACAAGTTACCTCGACACCCTGGCCAGAGAGGCCCCCCGAACAGGAACGGCGCTCCCGCTTCGCAATTTAAGTTGGCGGAGGCCCAGCCACGACGACAAGGGCTCCTGCTCGATATTTCCTCACGATTTACTCCGAGAGCCCCTGGCCAAGAAGGCCCCCGAACTCAGGAACGGCACTCTCGCTCGAGACTTTCCCGTAATTCAGGCAAGCTGTTGGAGGCCTGGACACGGCGACAAGGGCTCCCGTTCGATATTTCTCCATAGGTATTCCGAGAGCCCCTGGCCAGAGAAGCCCCCGAACTCAGGAACGGCGCTCTCGCTCGAGACTTCTTCGCGTTTCAGTCAGTGGCCGACAAGGAAGAGATTCCCACCGAAAGGGGGTGCAATCGAAGACGAAGTGGGGGTTGGGGTATACGGAATGCAAGACACGTGTGCCAGTAAAAGCGAACAGTCTTAAATTGAGTGTTGAACTTTCACTTCTGAAGAAAAAGTATTGTTGATCCCCCCCGTCTGGTGCACATTGTTTTTTCGATTGAAGTGCCCTTCTTGGGGCTCGCACTCTTGGTTTTTATCAGGGGAAGTCTTGAGGGTCAAACTGCGTTGTTGGCCCCCGGTTTACAACAACAACAACAACGGCTCCCGCTTGATACTTCCTCACCGTTTATTGAAGAATCGCGCCATCGTTTAGGACTTCCTTGAAATTTACCACCGGATCGCTGCTCCCGCTTGATACTTCCTCACAATTTATTGAAGAATCGCGCTCACGCTTGGGACTTCTTCGCAACTCACCACCGAATCGCGGCTCCCGCCTGATACCTCATCACAATTTATTCAGGTGCCGCTCCTCGACGCTCAGGAATCGCGCTCCCGCTACATATCGCTTGGCGGTTCAAGCAGAATTTACGCTTCAACGACCCGCCCGCTCGACCCGCCCGTCTGGTCCTGCCCGCCCGACCAGCCCGTTAGGGACTGCAGTCGCCGCTCGCTGGCCTTCGGCCGCCTTCGATGCCCCTCGCTGCCCGTATTGGTTCCGCGGTCGCCTTCGCTCGCTGCCCTTGGTGGCCCCGTTGCTGCCCTCACTGGCCCCGTCGCTGCCCACTGTGGCCCCGCATTATATGCCCTTCGTGGCCCCCGCTCGCAGTCGCCCGTCGTGGCCCCATACGCATGCCCTTCGTAGCCCCGCTGTCGCCCTTCGTGGCCCTCTCGCTGCCCTTCGTGGCCCCTTTGCTGCCCTCAGTGGCCCCGCTGTCGCCCTTGGTGGCCCCATATACGAATGCTAATCGTGGCCCCCGCTCGTTCGCGCCCGTCGTGGCCCCATATGCGTGCCCTTCGTGGCCCCGCTGTCGCCTTTCGTGGCCACTTCTCTGCCCTTCGTGGCCCCGTTTCTGCCCTCAGCGGCCCCGTCGCTGCCCTCTGTGGCCCTGGATTACTTGCCCTTCGTGGCCCCCGCTCGCTCGCGCCCTTCGTGGTCCCATACGCATGCCCTTCGTCGCCCCGCTGTCGCCATTCGTGGCCCCCTCGCTGCCCCTCGTGGCCGGGCTTCGGGGGGCCGCGTCCTCCTCGCCCTCCGCGCTCACTCTTTCTCTCCTTTTTTCCCCCCCCCCCCCCTCTCTCTCTCTCTCTCTCTTTTTTTTTTTTCTCTCTCTCTCTCTCTCTCTTTCTCTTTCTCACTCTTCAACTCTCTCTCTCTCTCGCTTTCTTTCTTTCTCTCTGTCTCTCTCTCTCTCTCTCTCTCTCTCTCCCCCCCTCTCCTTTCGCAGCTGTCCCTCCCGTCCCTCCGTCCCTCCCTGCTCCCTCCTCCCCCTTCCCCCCCCTTATCGTCATTGTCGTCGTCGTCGTCGTCGTCCCTGGCCGCCACCGTTGGGGCCCGCCTGCCGCCTGGAGCCCGGCACTCCGACCCTTCAGCCAGCCCGGCCGATAATCCGTGCGACTGCCTCGCCGCCTGCCGAGGGCCAGCCTGTCGGCCATTCAGCCCCCACCCTTCTCCCTCTCCTCCTTCCCTTCCTCCCTCCTTCCCTCCTTCCCTCCCTTCCTCCTCCTCCTTCTCCTTCTCCCTCCTCCTCTTCCTTCTCCTCCCTCCTCTCGTCGTGGTCGTCGTCGTCGTGGTGAGCCCGCTGTCTGTCCATCTTGGGGTCGGGTTGCCGCGGGTCGGTGTGTGTGTGTGTGTGTGTGCACCGCTGGCGTTGCCACTGGTCAGGCCGACGGTCCGCCGCTTGCCGGGGCCCGGTTTGCCGGCCTTTGAGACGCGCGTGTTCCGCTGGCCCAGGTTCTTCTGTGGGCTTCGAATGAAGGCCTCCCGAGGACCCCGGGGCGTTCCCGCAGGTTTTCGGAGCTTCTGGAATTGGTCGGTGGTCATCGGGGCCATTCCGAGGCCCCCCAGAGGTCATGGGAGGGTTTCGGGTGCCTTCCAATCCTCCCGCGCCTTGTTTCCGCACCAGTCTCTGCTCGTATCCACCTGCCCCCACTTTTCAACGTTTTTTTTTTTTTTTTTTTTTTTTTTTTTTTTTTTTTTTTTTTTTTTTTTTTTTTTTTTTTTTTTTTTTTTATATATATATATATATATATATATAAAGTGTTATATATATATATATATATATATATATATATATATATATATATATATATATATATATATATATATATAAAGTTTCTTCATTCTTTCCTTTTTTATTCATTCTCATTTCGTTCGTGCTCCATTGTGCTATTCCTCAGTTCTTCGCGTTCCGCCCGCTCCCCCCGAGGCCGCCCCATCCCACCCCAGCAATCTCCGCCCCTTCCCGCTCGCATTCCGCATGTCTCCCACGTGCTTCCCAGCCCCTCCTCCAGATTCCTCCGTGCGCCCCCCGCTCCTCCGCGCTCCCCCCGGTCCCTTTTCTCCATTCTTCGCCGCTCCTCCTCCTGAGACCCTAATTACTCTTGTCCACTCCATCCTAATCCTGTCCGCGTCCCCGCGCTCCTCTCGACGCGGTTGCAGTTCTCGCTATCCTCCCGCCCCGCTCCCCCGACATTCCTCTTCTTTTCAGGGTTCCACGACGTGTGTTTCCGACGCCAGTTCGCAGCTGAACGCCCCCCCGTGGGGGTATCCGCGATATGTTCTTTCAAGGGGGTGGTGCGTGGCGTTGTTTATGGCGCGACCCGCGGCGCAACTGATTGTTAACCTGTGTTGGGGTGGCGGGCGCGAGCCATGGCGCAATCTGAACCCCCCCTGCAGCGCAGATCACCGCCCTCCCTCCTTCTTGCCCCATCCCTTCCCATCCTCCGATCCCTTCGTCCTCGTTCCCCCCCGTTATCTGTTGGCCTTCATTTTCAAGGGCTTCGCCGACCGCGCGTGGCAGGGAATGAACATGCCCTTCAAAAGGGGGCGCGATCGAAGACGGAGAGGGCGGGTATCCAAGGTTTGGGGTATGCGTATCGAATGACATGCGAGCGAATCTGAGCGAACCGCCCCAAAATGATTGTTGTTGTTGTCGTTGTTGTTGAATTCTCATTCCCGAATAATATTTATTGTTGATCCCCCTTCGCCGGTGCGTGCTGTTTTTTCTGAATCGAAGTGTGCCCCATTGACGCTCGCACCCTGTTTTTAACAAGGACAGTCTTGGTGCTCAAGGTGGGCCCCTGTCCCCCCGGATTGCAACAACGACGGCTCCCGCCTGAGACTTCCTCCAAATATACTCATGACCCCCGCTCCTGAAACGCCCTCACAATTTATTCAGGATCGGTGCTCCCGCCTGTGATTTTCTCGCAATTTAGTCAGGACCACCGCTCCCATCTGACACTTCCTCACAATTTGCTCAGGAACGGCGATCCCGCTTGAGATTGCATCGCGATCGAACAAAGATTTCCTCGCAACTTAATCAAGACCCCCGCTCCCGCCAGAGAACCCGTCACATGTTATTCAGGAGTTGCGCCCTCGTCTGTGCTTCCCATGCGCTCTCGCCATACTCAGGCATCCCGCTTGAAAATCCCACAGCCCGACCCACCCGTCAGGGGATCGCCCGCCCGTCGTGGGCTCCCGCCCGAGACTTCCTTCAGGAACGGCACTTTCGCTTAGGACTTTCTCGAGCGTTCACGCTCTTACCTTCCTGCTCCTCCTTCCTCTCCCTCGTCCCTCCTCCCTCCTCTCCTTCCGTCTCTCACCCTCCTTTCTTCCCTCATCCTTGTGCCTCTCTGCCCTATCCCCTCTCCCTCCTCTCCCTCCTCCCTTTTCCCTCCCCTCTCCTGCCTCCTGCCTCCCTTTTTTTTCTCTCAATTTATGTATCTTTCTCTGTCTTTCTCTCCCTTCCCTCTCTCTTTCTCTACCTCTCTTATCGTTTTTTGTTGTTCTCTCCCTCTGCCTCTAATGAACCGCCCCCCTCTTCGCTCCTTCTCTCCTTGCGTGTTCCCTCTTCTTTCGTCCCTCTCCTTCCCTTCCTCCCACTCTCCCTCGTTTTCCCCCTCCTTTTTTTTGCAGGGCCCACACCAATTCCAATGGCGGGCACATGTATGCCCACGAAGGATGGTCCGCCCGTTCAGCTTTGCCCGCCTGTCTAAGCCCGCCGCCCCCCGCAAAGCGAAAGGATCCCCCCAAAGGGGGTGTGTTCGAAAACAAAAAGGGCGGGTATCGAGGGTGTGTGGGATTCGCTTTGAATGACGCGCGGGCAAGTAAGAGCGAACAGTCTTATAATGATTGTTGTTGTTGTTGTTGTTGTTGTTGTTGTTGTTGTTGTTGTTGTTGTTGTTGTTGTTGTTGTTGTTGTTGTTGTTGTTGCTGTTGTTGTTGTTGTTGTTGTTGTTGTTGTTGTTGTTGTTGTTGTTGGGGGCAGCCGGCCGCGCCGCGCCGAGGTCGTTGCCAGCCTCCGCAAGAGCGTGCCGCCGGAGGCCGCGGGGCCCGCGGCGGCCTGGGCGGGTGCCGTCTCCTCTTCGGGGCCCGCGGAGGCCAGGGCTCTTGCGGGCCAGGGTTTTTTCCTCCGTTGTCGCTGTTGGCGATCTCGGCGGGCACGGCGGCGAGAGGGCCAGAGGCAGCGTCAGGGGTGGCGATTTCGGCGGACACGGCGTCGAGAGGGTCGGGGGCAACGTCAGGGGGGGTAGGCTCAGGTGGGCGACGCCTAAGAAACCGGTTCGCCTGCGCCGACATTGGCGCGTCAGCTGCTCGTGCGAGGTCGCGCGTGAGCGCCCTCGTTTTCAATGTAGCGTGCCGCGAGGACTGCCCGCGTAAGCCACCGCGTAAGGTCGCTCCGTCATCTTGCGTAAGACCCGTTTTTGATCGTCGCCCATGTGTGTGTGTGTGTGTGTGTTTGCCGACCCCCGCTCGCCCACTGTTCCAGGAGGAGGAGGAGGAAGAGGAGGAGGAGGAGGGGGAGGAGGAGGAGGACGAGGAGCAGCAGGAGGAGGAGGAGGAAAAGGAGGAGAAGGGGGAGGAGGAAGAAAAGGAGGAAAAGGGAGGAGGAGGAGGAGGAGGAGGAGGAGGAGGAGGAGGAGGAGGAGGAGGAGGAGGGGGAGGAGGAGGAGGGTGAGGTTTCGCTCGCTACGGGGGCCTACCGCAGTTTCATCGGGGGCCGCTTCCACATCGGTGCTTCCCTCCCTGAGCGAGTCCCTCCCTGATGCTTCCCCTCGCTCGCAGACAGAGGCTCTCCTCCGTCGTCGCTGCTAGCAGTCTCGGCGGGCACGCCAGAAAGGGCCTCGCCTTCGGGTGTCGAAGGACTTGCCCTTTCTTCCTCGGCGGAAGCCAGCGGAAGCTCGGCGGAAGCCGGCGGAAGCAAACGTCGACCTCCCAAGAGATGACAACATGCTTGGATTCATGGTTTCTGGAATCGGCCATATGGCGCCGCGCCGTCTGTTCCGACGCGTGGCCTTGCGTCTTGCGGAGGGCGCCTTGGCCACCAGGGTAAACTCCGCCTCGGACGCAAGGTTCGCCGTGGGGTTTGCAGCGGTGCCGGCTTCGTCTGCTTGGGTCCGTTCAGATCAATCGGCGCGGCGACATATGTTTTGGGGAGTTTTTGGTCGGATCGAGACCTCCAGAGGCCTCGGAGACTTCCTGAGATCTCCATGAGAGACCCCTGGAGACCGACCGAAGACTTCCGAGCGGGGTAAATGGCTGGTTGGGCGGAGAGCAACAATAGCCGTGTACCAGCACAATGGACTCCACATTGGACTGTGTTGGAGTCTTCAGGAGCTTGCCGGGCTCTGAGGTTCGTGTGATGATCTAGTAGCCCCCACGTGTGTCATTGGCCCCGCTTGTGTTGCCAAGGCGTTCATCGTTTATGTATTGTACCAGTATCGGATCAGATGATTCGTTCACCCCGGTTGTAGTGCAGTTAGGTTTTGGTGGCGCCGTAATGCGATCGGTCTGAACTGTCGCTTCGCGGGAGCGGGTGTCTTCAGAGTTCGTTCTCCGTCGTACAGTTTCCAGTTGCGACGCGTGGGATGTGAAGATGTGCGCGTGTGTGCATTGAAATGACGGCACACCAGTTTGCCCCGTCCACGGGAATCGCGGGGACAGTATGAACGCTCGCGCCCGCCTCGGTGACGTTGTTGCCAACTTTGTGATCATGCTTCGGCGGCGAGCCTGGGGAGAAATGCGAAGGAGACGGCTCTCTCAGAAGGCTCGGAAGTCCCCCGGCCTTCCGAGAAGTCTTCTAAGCTTTCCTCGACGACAGAAACTTTCCAGAAGGCGCGAGGGCTTCTGAGAAGTTTCGCCGCCTTCTGAGAAGTCCGTCTCACTCTCATTTCCCCCCCTCGCTCGCCGCCGTCGGATGCTCCTGATGCTCAGTCCTGCTCCTGGTGCCGCTCCTCCGCCCTACCTCCCTGCCTCGCTCTCCCCTCTTCCCCCCCTCTGCCCCTCTCCCTCGACCCCTCTCCCTCGATCCCTCTCCCTCCCCATCCAGCTCCCTCCGTCCCTCTCCCTCCTCCGCCTCCCTTTCCACCTCCTTCTCCTCCTCCGTTTGCTCCTCCTCCTCCGTTTCCTCCTCCCTCCTCCCTGCCCCTCTCCTTCTCCCTGCCTTCCTTCCTCCTCCTTTTCGGATCCCTCTTCCCCTTTCTCTTTTCCCTCCTCTTGATGGCTTGCGGCGTGGCACGCTTCTCCCTTTACACGGGCTCCTCGGCAGGTCTCCTCTCCTCGCCGCCTGTCTCGTGCCCAGACTTCCAGCGGATTTGATTATTTCGATTCCGAAGTTTTTCCTTCTATTTCGGTTTCCGCGGCCCGTCTGTGGGCTCGGGGAGCATCAGAATTGGATCCGGAAGGCAAAGCTGTCCCTCGGGAAGAGGTCGAGATCTCTGGGGCCCGCAGAGTGACCAAACCAATACCTCACAGGTTGGGGTTCCCCTCCCTCCTTACCTCTTCTATTCCCTGACTGCCCTCGTCTTCCTGTCCCCCTCCCCTATCCTTCCTTTCTCCTCCCCTCCAGAGGGACTGCGAGGGGGAGAGAGAGAGGCAGGCAGAGGGAGAGGAGGGTGGAGGGAGGGTGAGAGGGGACGGAGGGGCAGACAGGATGGTGATGAAGAGCTGGGGAGAGGGGGAGGAGAGACAGAGGAAGGTGGAGAAGGGAAGCGGGAGAGCGGGAGGGGGAGTGGGGAGGGCGCGGGAGAGGTCGAGAGCGATGGAGTCCGGGAGCGAGAGGAGGGGAGGGCGAGGGGTGGGGGGACAGAGAGGCGGACGGGGTGGCGATTGGGAGCTCGGGGTGGGAGAGGCGCGGACAGAAGGTCAAAGGAGGAAGGGTCAACCATACTGCTACCCTCGCCTCCCCTTCGCCTTTTTGGGCCTCCTGGGAGGCCCTCGTCGCCACCGCTGGGTTCGCCTCGAATTTCTGGTCAAAACGCGCTCCAGGAGAGGTCCAGGGAGTAGCGTTATTGGCACCTGTTGGTTTCCCCAGAAGTCGAGTATGGGATCGAGTTTCCCCACGCTTGGGAATTTTCGCCGAACTCGCGAACAATACATCGAATCTTCGTATATCCGTAAGGGCTTCGCCCCCTGCCGCCGGCTCCTTCTCTCGGAGAATGGGTTATACAAGAGTTATGTTGTGAGGCCTGGGCGCCGTCGTGAATCAGCGTTGGCTCTTGGAACGCTCTTGGCGGCCTCTTGGGAGCCTCTTGGGCCGTCTTGGGACCATCTTGGTGGACCACTCCTGGGCGGTCTCTTGTACCGTCTTGGGGGCCTTTTATGACGGATTGTGGCCTCGAAAGCGCGAGTATTGCGTACTTTACGAGGGTTTATGAGTTCGGGGACGCGAGGAGCGCGTAATTTACGAGGGATCGTGGCTTCGGGGGCGCAGATATTGCATCATTTCCGAAAGGGTATTGCCTCGGAGACGCGAACATGGTGTAACGTGCAAGGAAGTATGGTCTCGGGAGCGCGAACATGATGTAATTTGCGGGGGGTTATGGCTTCGGGGACGCGAGTTCAATGCAATTTTCAAAAAGAATCATGGTCTCGGGGGCGCGAATATGGTGTACTTTGAAAGGGATTATGGCTTCGGGGGCGCGAATATCAAGTATTTTTACGTGTCCCAAGGGCCCCCCAGAAATTCTGATATTCCCCCAGGTGAACGTGACCAGAGCGGTTTTCGGCTCCCCCCCTCGCGCGGACTTCAACACTTCACAGTAGGAAGCAGAACACAGAATTGTAACATCGGAGACTGGAAACTGGAACTGGACCAGGGAGCAGCAAGCCAAAGCCGCGGAGCCTGATGGCCCCGCAAGAGGGCAGGCGGATATACAAAGATTTGTCGTAGTCTGCGTAGATTTGATGAACAAACCAGTTTTGGGTAATCAGTTCTGTAGTCGATCCCCAACTCGAAGAAGGGCCAGGGGACGGTGGGAGGACGGCGCGTCAGGTTTTTTTCGATTGCCACATGATGGTTGCCAACCCGCTGCAGTGGATAGAGCCCATCAGGGACCAGAGTGCGGGGACCGATTGCTGTGCGAGTGCGCTGACGATGACGATGACGTCATCGTCATCGGCATCGTCGTCGTCATCGTCATCGTCGCCGTCGTCGTCGTCGACGTCGTCGTCATCGTCGTCGTCATCGTCGTCGTCGATGTCGTCATCGCTGTCGTCGTTACCATCGTCGTCTGTCGTCGTCATCGTCGATGTCGTCGTCATCGCTCTCGTCGTTGTCATCGTCTTCTGTCGTCGTCATCGTCGCTCGTCGTCGTCGTCGTCGTCGTCCTCGTTGCTCGTCGTCGTCGTCGTCGTCGTTATTGTCGTAGTCGTCATCGTCATCGTCATCGTGTAGGCTGCGTTCAAATGCTGAGTGAGTCGCATTGCCACCTTCGTAAAAAGCATTGCTGGGCTCGTGCCGTCGCTCTTGGTAGTGCTCGACGTGAGTCAGCGGGAACGGGCTGCTCGGACAGCGTCTGCGGAACTGCTGTCCTGGCAGGCAGCGCCGACACTAGACGGCCTGTTCGGGATATCACCGACCATGACCAGGTACCGAGGGAAAAAATACGGGGACCATGACCGAGATGTCGCGGATTCTTGTCGATGCCGATCTTGGTCATGGTCCATGCTGGCCGTGCCGATTCGCGAGGATTACCCACGAATTGGCGCTGACCAAGATCGACGCTGACCAAGATCGGCACGGCGTTTCCACGTTCAGTCTTGGTCTGGTCCCCGCTTTCTTCCCCTCCAAGGTGAGACAAACAGCAAGAACCTTGCTTTACCCAAAGAATGTTGCAACGAGCGAGCGATCTGTCGGCACTGACCAGGTCGTAGCTGGATGTGTCTCGCCTCGTGGCAACATCATTCAGCGAATCCTAGGCCGCGAATAGGACACTGGCATGAACCCAATTGTTTTCGAAACGCTCTTCTAGCAAAGTGGTCCGATGAACGTTACGTCTCGAATGTAGTCTGTCTCGTTGAAGTGAGTTGCAGTAAAAATGGCATCACAGTCTTGCTAGGCAGAGGGACGCTATAACTACCATGGCAAAGCTGTGTACTGCGCCTTTGAAAGGACAGCTCGCGTCATGATCAACATTCGTAGCAAGCGCGCACTCACGTGAGGTGCGCATTTCTGTTGTACTTCGCTCTGCTGATGTTCGTCATCAACACATTCCGCTATCCGTACGCTTTGA